GAGGGTGGGGTGTATGTAAGCGCTTTCTAAGAAGTCGAAGCCAAGCTCTTTGTAAGTAGTAAATTACTATACAAAACAATTAATTTAACGCACGTATTTGTATCTCTTGATTTTGCGTGTGCACGAACAAAAACGCAAAGGAAAATTAAACCGGCGACAAGATGTAGGAAGTAAATTGCTGTCCATTTAGTCGAAAGGAAAAAATGTAAGAACCTAATTCAGTAACAACAAAATTCTTGTGCTAAATCTTTACGCTTTACGCGCGTATCACACAGCGCTTGGTTCAGAACACTGTAGGTAGCATCTGAGCCGCCCCTTCGTTTCCAGGCTAACAACATGGCGTATGCTTTTTCGGATATTTCTTCATGGATATTATCAAATTCTTGCAGCTCTGCTTCATGGAACGTTAGCCGTCGCCCAAGCGTTCTCCAATCTTTAGAGACTTTTTTTGATAGATTTTCTAGTACATCGTCCGTTGGACTGTCTTCCATTCGTTCACTAGGCTGTCGCGTAAGTTCCCGTAAGTCCGAACGAGCGGCCGTACCCTTAGTGGGCGTTCTTAAGTGCAATCTACACAATAGAGGCACTCTGGCCTCTGAGATGTTATAAAATTCCACTCGACCTACGATTTTGTCATTAAGAAAACGAACCTCCAACTCGGCATCGTCTGGATTGTGCTCTAAAAGCCTAAGATAAATTTCCTCCATGTCGCTCTTTACTTGTGGGCGTATTCCTCCTGATACAAACACGGATGCCTTATCGTGCCCGGGTACCATATCTTTCTTCGAGTTTTTGCAAATAGGCGTTATGCCTTGTCTTTCAAGCTGCCTTAGCTCCTGTCCTTTAAGATAAGCAGGGCAGCACATCAGACACAAAATGTTTAAAAGATCCGGACGAAAGTAAGCGAAGAAGACTGTCAGTATGGGCGGAACAAAAATGCGGCTGTTAAGGAAGTTTGTAATTCTTTGTCCATAAAACCTGGAGTTTTCGTTTTTCCTCTCAACATAATGCGTATATGCAGAGAACCGTTCCACATGGAACCTTACAAACTTCCTATCAAGACTTGGCGGTTTCACAAGATCATCAGTGATTTCAATCCATTCTTTTAGGTCATTATCGGACTTGAGGAACAGCACTCTGACGAGACATATTGTGGGGTTTAGATTCAAGTCTTGTTGCTCTCGAAGAGAAATTGGCAGCTGAATCGTGACAGGTTTCAAGAACTGAACAGCTTGAGAGCATTTGATTCTCAATACAGGTCCAAGAAATTTACCCTCAACTTCAAATTCTTCATTTGAAACTTCTTGAACCTTTAACTCCAACGGAAACTTTGCTTTAGGTGCAACAGCATTCTCGGGGATTGTAACTGTCACGTCTGGAAAGTCAGGATGACTGAATGAGCCGCCACCAGATGTGAGGGTGTAAGTTGGAGAAGCCTTGAGACGGCAAACTACTGCGTATGTTGAGCACTCAGATATATCAGCTTGAGCAACGGGAAAGAAAAAGTCCGTTATTTTCATGTGGGAAGGGTGACTGTCTTCGAAGTCTTGACGACAACGTATGTCCTTGGTTCCATCCACGTCTTTCCAATAATTCGTCTCCTTGTCAATCAGCTTTTTTATTACTAGCTCATAGCCCTTTACGTCTGTTGCGCTGTGAGATAACGACAGCTTCACCTTTGTGTTAAATTTTAGTTCTTGGCCATTCAACGAAGATAGTTCAATAACATTACTAGTGATGGCTTCATGTTCCTGCAGTGGGGGTGAACGGACACTGTATTTCCATCTGTGGACCACGATTGACGTATGCTCAGATACAGCATCAGGAGGAAACATCAGGTGAACAGCCCACTGTTTGGAGGCCCAGCTGATACCTTCACTTGTTACTTCAATAAAGTTCTCCCCTTCTGCATCATCTTCGGTTTTAGTTGCAGTTTCAGCAGTTTCATCAACATACTTTTCTCCTACCTCAGCCACTTGCTCATGTACTTCAGCATCTTCTTGTGACTCTTCTGCGATCACCCTTTGTGGTTTTACTTTAGTCCCTGCGCAGATACAAAACCAACATGTCAGTATTCCATGTTGTTTAAGAATTTGCAGGAACTTTATAAAAAATCTACACCTGTTGACTACCGCACTGCAATCACCTTCTTTCTGGTATTTTTTTTTTGTTTTGTTTTTTTATAATTGTGAATACATTTACAATTAAAAATTCTTACAATTATAAAGGTTTTGGACGAGTAAACACATCTTGTTTTTTTTTCTTTTTACTTTTCGTAGCATGTAGGCAAAGTAGCTATCTAGCAAAGCACATTTAATCACTATAAATCAACTTTATTGTATTACTGTGTTGTAACCCTCTCGTAAAAAATAACGAAGAAGGCTTCTTTTGTGGATATACAAAGAGTGTAAAACCTTTTTCTGGAAACATTTGATGTAAAACTGGCACTAATTCACTAGGTCTTTTGCTAGTTAGAACGAAAATGTCTTAAACGTTTAAATTTCAACTCTGTTAATTACCAAAATTGGTCATCAACTGCCCTGATTTCAGCCTTAATATCATAGGTGACGAATTACTCCCTAATTTTGGCGCGAAATTTCAGCGTTAATTTGTAATTTCACATGTGAAATTACAAAATTGCCATAGCAACTCTTCCGTACGTGTCAGTGTCAAGATGGCGACAAAGTTTTAAAACGCCGTGAATGAAGATGTGAGGGCACAAAATGCCCTTTTACCGTTTGACAACGTGCACTTGGCAGGAATTGACAACTTAAAAAGACGCTTTAGAAAACCTGAACACACAAGAGAACATTAAGAAGGATTCTAACAGGTATTTTGCCGAAAAAGTCTAAAAAATTCTGAACTTTATAAGCCAAATTTAAGGTCTAAACATTTGAGAGAGTGGAGTTCTCGATCGATACGATCCAGGATAAACATGTCAAAAATCCAAGATTGCTGACGTAATTCGTCACCCATGATATTAATAGGTAATCAAATGGTATACTCGTGAAATAAGGGAATAATTTCACTTGCGTTTTGTCCAAATCCTAATAATTTCCCGAGCCTTTAGACAAAACGCGCGTGAAATTATTCCCTAATTTCACTCGTCACCATTTGATTACACATACTAATAGGACAGTTTAATAGGACAGTACGCGTCATGCCTAAGTGCTTGGACAGTACGCGCCATCACATCATCACGCGCGCGCTGAAATGGTTTTTTTTATTGCTAGCAAAAAAAAATCTTGGAATTTCCGGTGGGGGTAAAAGGCGGAATGAGTTTGCGGAATGGTATGTGGCATGGCCTGCGGAATTACATAATTATGCGGATTGTGATGTACGCAGAATGACCCAAAGAAATCAATTAAACTGAAAAGAGCGCCCTTTTTGGCGCCAATCAATTTGCAAACGCGGCCGCCGTTTTAATTTTGCGGGCTCGACATACGAAACCACGAGAGAAGTGTTTCTTTTTCAGACGGTGGGTTACGTGATCGTGACATAATTTTCAGAGATGAAACTGATCTTGTAATTTGTTCCCTTGGCTGCTTGGTTAAGTTTCCGGTACAATAAGGTAACGGCTGGCGGAGAAGGGCGAGTTCGAATCTTGGCAATTGAGTATGTGTCTTTTTTTCTTCTTTCTCCCTTCCTACCGTTTTAGCATTTTTCACGATTAACGCACACACTCACACAAACAAGGAAGGTGCGAAGACACGTGGAAAGGCCAAAAGGAGACAGAGGGCAGTTCGCTTCACTCGATCAGCTGACTCGATTTCTAGATTACTGGTTATTGTTTGACTCAGGGCGTTCATTTAGTCTCAAATATGATCTGATTCGTCAACCGTATTAATTAATTATCCTAGAATTGTAGCTAGCCTGACTTCAAGTTCAACAAGCGTTCTTTTCCCTCTAGCGTTTTGACATTTGACTATATTATACTGGTGGGCAGAAAGAGAGAAAGTATTGTCGAAAACACCAAAAATATATTAAGTATTAATTAAGTATCACGAATGCAGTAAAGCGTATCGCTACTTTCTACTCTCCCCTGTTGGTTTGAGCCAGCAGTAATAAATGGACCAGCAAAGCAGTTGCTCTCCCAAATTGGCGTCAAAAAAGGCGCGGCAAAGACGCGCGCATGCATTTCAGTTTAATTTATTTCTTTGCGCCATTTTCCATACATTGCGCCATTCACAGTGGAATGTTTTGTGTTTTGATTTTAAAAAGAGCCTTATATATCACAAATTTTGTTAAAGTTTTGATTAATTGGTAACAGAACTTCGTGTCGTCCAATTCGGTCTGTAATCATACTCGTGATTGAACAAATCGGACTCCCGTTACGCGTCGTCCGATTTCGCTAATCATTCGTATGATTACAGACCGAATTGGACTCCACTCTCTCAGTTACCATTTACTAATCATTCGAGTGATTAACAAAATCGGGCGATCGCGTAAAGTGCCTATGTATATTAATTAAAGGAAGGTGACGTTACACGGGACGATTCGATTCGCTACACTGTCCAAGTCGTAAACTAACGAAACTGAGTTTCTTTACGGTGCCTTTCACTGGGTTTGAAATGGCTTTTGAATGCTCACTTTTTAGACTGCTTGCAGTCCGCCTTTTCTCTTAAAATCCGTCTAGTTCTTGATCTCATCCAGCGCGATTGCAAACCACGATGTTATTATATAGGGATCTATTTTTTCTTCTCGATCGGGCTTACGCCCTCGTTTCTCGCGGCAAGCGACTTTGCCGCTCGCGTGATTAGGTTTTGCGTGCAGTATTGCAAAGAAAAATAAGAGACTATTCGCAGTCTAGCTTTTTTTAATGTCGTTCCGGATTTTCTCATAGGCTGTTTTTATTTCGTACTGCCGGATAAAATGTCAACAGCACAACTGGAGTTTAAATAAGCTAGAGGCTTAGTTCATATAATTCGGAATAAATGGCTCTAAAAAAAATATGTATGTGTTGAACACTTCTGATTAGGTCTAATTATATACTTTGCAGCTCTACCTTGAGGCTCGGATATGGATCTCTTAAGACTTTCTCCCTGAACCTGCCGCATCTTGATTGACCTCTCGCCACACTTTAAGGCTTGCTCTAACATCTTCAGAACTTCCTTCTTGTACGCCGGGTCAAACTCTTGATCAGGTATTGAGTTCGCGATCAAGAAGACATCCCTCGGTTCGCTTCCAGTGACCTCCCTCGCTGCTTCCTTTAATCTTCTTCTTTTTTCGTCAGGATTCGGCAATTCCCGTATTTCATCGTCAAAAGTGATGACCGTGATAATCGTAATGACTATAACATAACAGCAAGAAATATAATGAAAAAATAAATCAGGTTTGGCACTGTAACATGTAGCCTACCATTCTACTAGCACCCTTTAATTCCGCTTTCCCTTCACTTTCAAACTTTTGACACTCAAACTATGTGACATGTATCATGTGGAGAAAGTACGAGAGCCCGATCGAAAATTTGGTGTCATCGACTGAGTTTTAAGCCGTCATTTCCAGCATAAGCCCCAGTTAGTTCTCTTCGTTCGTTTTTAGGTAGGATTTTTATCGTAACTCTAATGTAATTCGTCAGGTATTCTTCTTATTATCATTCGATGTAAGTTTTTAATTCGGCATTATTTTTCTTTCTTATGAATTCTGTAAAGCGCTATTGGGCTTTGGAAATGGCGCTATAATATTTAGATTTAGCCAGGGCTAAAAGCGAAGCTCTCGATAATATTTATAGTTTGTTCAAACAAAATATAAAATCATGTAATGCTAAGCGGCGAAGGCAACGCCGGAGAATGGTGAAAAACAACAGTAGGTCTAATTAGCAAAAAATCAACTTTGCACGTGCAGCACACTTTATTTTTTGTACATTTCTTTGCCGTTGTTTTGCACGACTACAACAAAAAAATTCCAGAAACTTCTTATTTACACGTTTTTTTCGTTCACGTTTTTTCACTGCCGCTCATTTTCACCTTGCATTGGTGGCCGCTAGCATTTCTCATTTTGTCACCGCCGTTACAAAATTTTCATGTTGTTCTTCCAACAAAAAAATGTCTACTTTATTTTTTATCTCTCGCTCTAAATCTCTGTCGCCCTTTTTCTCGTTGAGCTTGGCTGGCCTGCCGCCTACTTTCTCTTTTTCTCTGTGTTTCTCTTGCTCTATATTCCAAATTTAATTTGTGGACATGACAATTAATCTAAGCTTAATACTTAAGAAAACACGGATACAGAGACAATTTCCGCTTTCCATTTTCCTCTTCATTGACTCTTTAAGTTGTTTCTGCTTTACAAGATGCGGGTGGCTATGCGATTTCCCGTCAAAATAATCTCGAGTTGCGTTTGGGTTGCCATACCTGTTGATTGAGTTACTTTACATTGGTATCCCTCTGGTGCGGACGGACGGTCGGGCGCTCGGTGTACCGTCACGTGATTAGCAAATTTTGTCGGATGGGTAGTTTACCACATTTTCTTACCCATGGTGCTGCGCTGCGCGCTTCGCGCACGAGAGCTCCGCTATAAATAAAGTTTATTATTTATCACTATTATTAATTGTCTGGATGGTGTAGACTAACAAGCACCGAGTGTTTTTTCTTATAATCCTCAAATAAACGCCACATTCCGTCTGATTGGATGCGGCGTTTATTCAAGGGCGGCATTTAATCGATTAAATACGGTATGCAACTATCTGCTACTGGGTCTTTGAAGATGGAGATGTCTCGCCTGGATCCTCTCTAAACCTATTCGGAGACAGAATAAATGTTCTAGATCGAGATTATCCCATAACAATCAGAATTACGGGGTTGAGCGACACAAATGGGATTAAAGAACCTTAGTCCCTGATCGCAGTACGCAAAATTTTGTCTGTTTTGCAAAAAATCTGTCAACAGGAAGCCATTTCTAGTGCAAACGTTTTTTTTTTTTTTTTCACCTACCAAAACTTCCTTAAGCGTCGCCAAATTTCAAAGAAGCCGTCGAGAAGTTTTGGAGGCCTACAATTTTTTGTCAGGCAAAAAAATCCTTTGTTCCATGACAGCTATCCTTCGTCAGGTCATCTTATTTCGCTAACTATACCAATCATGTGATTTAATCGAAAATGACGTATCTTCTTTCGTGTGTCTTAGGTGCAAACCAAGTTACAAAATTTTCAAATTTTTTGCAATTTTTGTGTCGTAGTGCAAACAGGGCCTAATTTGAGAATCCCCAATAGGTTTTTTGGGATACGGGATTTCCCTTATTTGAAGATCGGGATTCGAGAATGAAAGTATGCGCAGGAGGTGGGATGCTTTTTGGGGATCCTCTTATTTTTGTCCCTTTAAAGGACATGTGCACTATGAGAAAGGTAAAGAACTCACTTTGTTCTCTCGCCTTGTGCTGAACAAACTTGATTATGTCACTGTATATTCCTTTTTCAAATCTGATATCATTAGCTTTTATGACCCACAATATGACATGCATTTGATCCGCAAGAGGAGGTTTTTTAAGCTTGTGAGCACCGACCCCTCCAGTTGCTGCTTTTTCGGGACTCCTGTCGCCTCGCACCAGTTCCTCTCCAGTTCGCTCAATTCCAAAAAGAATACGAAACAGCTCCCCTATTTGAATAAAAAGGATTGCATTGTGACTTGCCCACCAAAATGAAACCAGTCCATCCGAGGCAAGAAAACTGGTTAGTTCCGATTGGTCGGGTACAAGACCAGAGAGCGGTAGACCCAGTTCGATTCCTGGGTTTACCAACACTCAGGGTCTTAAAACATTGAGGAAAAGGTACTACCTTTGTTTCAAATATGGTAGACCTTCCATCCTTTTCGGAGAAGGTTAGAAAACCGACAGATTCTCTGAAAGGTAAAAAGAGCTATTGGGGGGAGGGGGTTCAAGGACAAGGCTTCTGGCAGTGACCACCCATTGTGTGCTGTCCATGGCCTTGGGTGGATATATTCTGTAGACTGAGAGAGATCTTAAGGTTGCTGAACACAGTTTTGGCAGTTTGTGAGTATATGTCATTTGGCAAATTATGGCAAGAGAAGGGTTGCAGCTCACAAGCTGAAACTTGGCAAGTGAAAAATATACTGATGAAAGAATTTGATTGACAGGTAAAATTTGTCATTTTCGTAGTTTCAATACAAAATGAACGATTGAATACAACCTTAAAATTTCACTTTTGCTCAGTTTACATAAAATTCTTTCATTAGGTTTTCCTATAAACTTGCACACAGCTTACTATAATTAATCATTACCATTTGAAACTTATTTGACCAAATTTTAACAGACTGATTTTTAGATAATCAATAATATATTTCTACCTGGAGTTTTGAAAACCGGGTTGCCTGAAATCTTAAGTCAAGTCCAGCACATTGCAGGCAATCTTTCAAAACTTAATTTGCTTAAAGCCCTGATACTTTTAGTGTAAAAATAACAATCTCGCTCTTCAGGACTAACCACCCTCACCTCTTAACCATGGGCTTCAAATAACTTGCTGGAACTGACAGAAATCAGTGCAAATTCCAGAAAATTTGCACGAGGGGGGCAACAGTCCGTCCCGCAGTGACGGGCTGTTGCCCCCGTTGGCCCAGATAATATTTTTTCACGGGGGCTTCCGTCAAACTAAGTGTCATGTTGTTGCACAGACACAGGGCTATCATCTGGTATGCATTTGGGGTAGCCTGGTTAAATTCCAGGGGGGTGGGGTTGTTGTAAAGACTATGCTTTGTGCTAGAGTGCAGATTCGCTGGGTTTTTGTACCTGGGCTTACCCCTGTCTTTCAAAGCTCAATGTCTCCCTCAAATTAAGGGGGGGTTGTGTCTGGCTGGGTGTCATGTTGTTGCACAGACACAGGGCTATCATCTGGTATGCATTTGGGGTAGCCTGGTTAAATTCCAGGGGGGTGGGGTTGTTGTAAAGACTATGCTTTGTGCTAGAGTGCAGATTCGCTGGGTTTTTGTACCTGGGCTTACCCCTGTCTTTCAAAGCTCAATGTCTCCCTCAAATTAAGGGGGGGTTGTGTCTGGCTGGGTGTCATGTTGTTGCACAGACACAGGGCTATCATCTGGTATGCATTTGGGGTAGCCTGGTTAAATTCCAGGGGGGTGGGGTTGTTGTAAAGACTATGCTTTGTGCTAGAGTGCAGATTCGCTGGGTTTTTGTACCTGGGCTTACCCCTGTCTTTCAAAGCTCAATGTCTCCCTCAAATTAAGGGGGGGTTGTGTCTGGCTGGGTGTCATGTTGTTGCACAGACACAGGGCTATCATCTGGTATGCATTTGGGGTAGCCTGGTTAAATCCCAGGGGGGTGGGGTTGTTGTAAAGACTATGCTTTGTGCTGGAGTGCAGATTTGCTGAGTTTTTGTACCGGGGCTACCCCTGTCTTTCAAAGGTCAATGTCTCACTGAAATTAAGGGGGGGTTGTGTCTGGCTGGGTGCCATGTTGTTGCACAGACACGGGGCTATCGTCTGGTATGCATTTGGGGTAGCCTGGTTAAATTCCAGGGGAGTGGGGTTTTTGTAAAGTTTGATGTGTTTTTGCACTCTTATGCAGTTTGTTTGTGCTGTTTGCATGCAAGCAATGACCTACTCTGTTGATAATGTTCCTAGTCAGCAAGCAGTTGAACTGCTGGTTTTAGGACTTGGTTTTGTTGAGCAGTGTTGGCTTAGATTGTTTTTGGGAGACCAGCTTTAATTAAAAATGGGGTGAACAGGGGAATTGGCTTTGCAATCGGTGACACCGACACTAAAAATTGCTTCTTAAAATGCCTTATTTTCCAGATTAATGAGGAAAACTTCACTTTTGTTACTTTCAAGACAGATGATTCTATCAAATGGAAGGTCATGTATTCAATAATTTCTTTTTGAGGTGAGATTTTACTTTTCAAGTAACAAGGGCCATCAAATTAACAATCAGTGCGAGAGACTGACATTTTTTAGTAGCCCGGTTTTCAAAAAACCAGGTATATTTGTATTGTAATTATCAAATGTGTCACAAAAATCGTCCGTTCAACTGCCATTTTAAAGTTCTCATTATTTAAAATACGTTAAAAGTAAAAATTCTGCGAAATATCACAAAATTTTAATGACTAGATTTTGAGAAATTGCCTTCTCTGTACCATTGCTTTTTTCGCCGCCATGTTTGTTTGTCTAATTTAAAACACGCGCCGTCACGCGAGTTACCGCTGACCGCCCGCAAAACTGTGTTCAGCCATTTTCATTAACACTCCATAAACAGAGTATTCATGGCAGAACTATTGAAGAGGTGACTGGGGGAACTTACCATTTACATGGGAAAACTGGAAATTCCGGAAGGAAAATCAAATGTTTCGCGACTTTCCGTTTGGGAAGCTTCCGAAAACAGGCAATGCAATTTTTCCCGCACTTTTTTTAAGCCTGTTCAGCTGATTTGGATATACTGTATTTAATTTTTATAGCGAGTCGTTCTCCCACCGTTTTTTGTTTATGCACAAGATTTCCACCGGTGTGCGACAAACGCAGACTGCAGACTTGCAGACTGGCAGGTAAACGAGGTAAACATTGTTGTGAAACACTCCAACAGATTCCCTATCCCTAAACTAGACTTTGTCGAAGACCTTAAAGTTTAAAGGGATCAGGGAATCTGTTAAAACCTTTCACGTTTGCTTCCGGGAGACAACAACCACGCTCGCATTCTACTATAACACTGACCTCACCCCCTTCTCCTCAGTTAATTTTTTCATCCTCGAACACGATGAAAACGATGATCTATATCAAATTATTAGCAAACTTTTAATTATCGGGCATTTCTATCGTGGTACGTTTTGAACAGAATCGAAGGAAACCATAAACACTATATTACGGCGAAATTTCGGCTCATCAATTCTTTGACTNCTACTATAACACTGACCTCACCCCCTTCTCCTCAGTTAATTTTTTCATCCTCGAACACGATGAAAACGATGATCTATATCAAATTATTAGCAAACTTTTAATTATCGGGCATTTCTATCGTGGTACGTTTTGAACAGAATCGAAGGAAACCATAAACACTATATTACGGCGAAATTTCGGCTCATCAATTCTTTGACTGCTCAAAGGCACAAAATTATGGCTACATCTCGCTTCCGGGGGCTCTATACGCTAGACTAACAAACACGTACTGTATTGTACGAAATAAAATTATGTTAGAACTGAAAAGTTCCTACCTTCCTCCGTTTTGCCAAAATCGGAAAAGCCTCTTGTGTCATAGACTATGACATTGTTCGGCAGCAGATCACAAGACTCCAAAACCTTCGTTCCTTCCCTTCCAGTCGTTTGAGTTACGGCAGGACGTATGTCCATCTCCAAGCATTCGAAGATCGTGTTAATCAGGGCCGATTTTCCAGAACCAGTCATTCCAAAAAGGACGATATTCAAGCGGAAGCCTTCCATTATCCCGCCGCAAGCATCATCGAATTTCTGGTACCTTCCGACTTTGTAATCCAACAGTCTTTCAACGAGCTGCTCCAATTCTTCGTCTTTCACCGTAGGAACAGTCGTTGCCATGACTGTTTTGTTATAAATTAGATTATTTTTTCTTCAAAGGCATTCTTTAGCTGCTTAAATGATGGATAGTGTGCTAGAGCGACGCTTTTCTTGTTGGCGACGCTTTTAACAAGAAAAGCGTCGCGATTCATTTATTTGAATCCAGTTGACGTCAACAGGAGGGCATTTTGCATGCGCATGCGTGAATCCGCTGAACGACAATAGCGTGGACGCATCAAATCTAATGGCGGGAAATCGAAAACTCGCGCGTAAAGGTACAGTCCTTTTAAAAGCCATTTCGTTGGTGCTTTGAATACCGTACTTTCCTAAAATCGGACGTTTTCTACGCGGGTTTTCACTTTTAGATTTTTCAGCAGTAGGTTTTCTTGGCCTTTTAAAGACTTTCAAGACTCAACGCCAAAAAGTCATGTTCCTGTATAAGTCTGATTTTCACTGCAAAGCAATGCATTTCTATGGTTTGATTTCCGAACTCGTGGTTTTATTTATCAGGGAAGAAATGCATCGTAGCAATGTTCAGCTGCTTTAAGACAAAAAGCGAAATAAATATTACCACGCGAGGTTTATTTATTAGCGCGATGTCTCATGTTAAACTGATCGCAGAGACATGCCCTTATATATGCCACAAAACATGAAATCTATGGGGTTTTTACACTTTTTCGAAAGTTTTCGCGGAAAAATTTATAAAAAATATTCTATAGGAAATGAAGAATGGATTGAGTTTGAGACAGCAACAATTATAGGTGATTATGTAGTACATAATCAATTTAGCATTTCATAAGCTCAGTTGCAGACAAAACAAATGCACATTCTTCGAAAAAACGAAAAGTACTTTAATTTTTCTTTACCTCTAAAAGATACAGAGATTTTCCTAGGCTACTATTTTGGAGCGTCTCTTGAGTAACAGCTCCTGTGTTCCACAATCGATTTCTTGTTATTAATTTATATTTGATGACAGTAGTGATCCATTCAAAACAGAGAATGGCCATCACTCCATAAATCTAACTGACGATGTTGTTCACCTTCAAAGCCTGTTAAAACACAAGACAGAACGTTTGTTAAAGGGGTGCATATAATGCTGTTTTCTCAAAAAATAAACACGTCTGGTAAAGGACCCAAATGAGCTGGGATGCGACAACAAACATGACACAAATGGATGGATAAATTTGTCTATTATTAATGTTTCTGTTGAGAGCTTTTTACTGTATCCAGATGAACCCATTATGTCAGTTGTACATCATGGAAGAATTATCAAACAGAAACTGATGCATTAAACAAGAATATGGTTCATTACAGAGGAGAAGCTGGTCTGAGTCAACATCCTTCGTGAATGAAATGTCTCACAAATTAGCATATCGACAAATGTAGTATCCACAAAATGGTATCATTTCGAAATAAATGCGATTTTTTTGCAACAGAAGCCAGGATTTATTCAAAAGGTGTATTGATAACGTTTCATTTCGTGCTATTTTGGGGTTGGGGGGTTAGGCTAGATTTTCTTTAAAACGTCAAAATGTTATATTTATTTGCATAATAAATGTAAACAAACAGTGTACCATCAAAATAAGGTGGAAAAAATCAGAATTCAAACCGATTGGTGTAATTTTTTTTCCTTTGTATAACTAAATGATAGAATATTCTTATTTTCAAAACACAATCTTACTGGCATCATTATATTGATTTAAATTTATAGTTGAAGTGCGTGTATTTTATTTTTATTTCTTAACGAAGACGTACCGGAGAAGAAAGCTAAAATTACTGCAGAAGGCGATTTTTCACAGACTTCATCAAAGC